CTGTGAGAGAGGAGAGCGTTAGGCCCGAGCGAGCTTCGGAAAGAGAAATGTAGTCAGGAGGAGGACCCGATTCGCGGCGTATCCGTCGATCGACTTTTACCTGAATCGGTACACCTTCGCATATGGCGTAAGCTGGCTACTGGTTCGAATCTCCTTAGGTGCACACTTTGTCTCCTGACTTGGACATTTCCCATGGACACAATGTGTGTCAGTCCTGAGAACACCTCTTGGAGTCGATCCTACAAAGAACCTTGTGACACTTCCATCGAATTACCCATTCCATCCTGGCCACAAGAGGTTCGTTCCCAGTTGAGGGTAAATTCTGTGAGCGGAGAGTGTTAAGGGGGACCCGATTCGCAGGGTATCCGTCGATTGACATTTCCCTGAATCGTTACACCTTCGCACTTTGATGGGTGCTAGACGAGAGTGAGAGTGGTGGCGATCTTAGGGCAGCACCACTCTTCTCCTCGAATACCGGACAAATAAGCCAATCACACGAAAGATCTAGAAGGCTTCCAGAATGATTCTGGAAACCCTCCTACATTCTAGAAAAGTATCAAGTGCAACCAAGGTCTAGAACGCTTCCAGAAGCTTGCAGAAAGTTCCAGAAATTCCCAGGTTTCCAGAAGTTTCACACGTTCTACGTAGATGTCCCGGTCGACCTTGACCTAGCCTGCTTCCGAAATATTTGTAGAACAAGAGGGTCACCGGGGTATTGGCCCGAGTACCGGAATTGCGGGGTTCGGAACATAAAAAATAAAATAATAAAGTAAAACGACTACGGTCTCGCCTGCCAAATTATCTCCGCTACAACTCTGTGCTCATGTTCTCTGCTAAGTGCCATGTCTTCTTTCGGCATAATGACTACGGGAGGCTACTTGCCGCAGTTGCAACTATGGTAAACTGTGCCTGACTACGTTGTAACAGTTTTCCTCGACAAAATAGACAACGCATACGGTAAATCCTTGCAACATTTCCTCAATGGCTGGTCGTGTCGAATATCTGATCGAAACAACACATGTTGCGGTTCTGTAGAGTACCTGCTTGCTGTGAGTACCTGCTTGCTGTCTGTATCGTACTACATCAACATCACAAATGTCCAGCTTCCATGTACAGCGAACAACGAAAGGTGGTTGGCGACAAAGGTTTGCAATATCTCTGTCTATCGTGTTGGGAGGAGGGCGCTTTCCGTCAGAGGCTGTGGAGAAGAAAAGGCTGCCTCAAGACTTTGTCATTAACGAGTGACGAGATTAACGAGTGAACAGCAGGGCAAGAAGCCCTGCACACCAGAAGGGGGTACGGCCTTCCAAGAGTTGCTTCAACGTTCTCTGAACGGAAAAAATCAAAAACTTCGTGAGTGGAAGGAGCTACATCCATCCTCTCCAGGATCTCTGATGGATTGCGATTGACCCTGCATATATATATGTAGTCATCTGCCCTGCGGATGTTAAGCGAAAACTCAATCCCATATGGAATATATTACCTGAACATCATGAACTTGGCGCACGGCAGCGATCTGAAGTGCTTCATGAGGGCCTGCGGGTCCTCGTACGCCGGCCCGTCCTTCCTTCCCTCGGCGACCATGATGATGATAGCGTTGATCGAGGGGGCTTCACGCACGTGCTTGATGATTTCGTCGTAGTGATCGAGGGATATCTCGCGGTTGGTGTCTGGTACGCCAGGGGTGTCGGTCACCTGGGTGGCAAAGTTTCGTTGGCAACGGAAAAGGATCGCACGTGAGGGATAACCTGGCGAAGGAAGACCCACTTTAAGGATTTGTCTGTTGATGCGGCATCTCTAGAAGACACCGCCTTGCCGACCTTGAATAGTCGCGCTTTGATTGTGAGACAACTTCAATCTTTCCAGGGCTGTTCTCTGCGCATGTGGAGGGTATGCATCTCATCTGACCAGTACGTATCGACGAGTACCTGCAGAACGCAACCATCCCACTCCCCCGTCAATGCCTTCAGCTCTGGGGCATAAGCGTCAGCCCCGTGTCCAACATGGAACCCATTCTCATTCGTAGCCTCCGAAGACTTAGAAGGTTTGCAACCGTGGACTTCCCCATGCCAGTCGTGCCGATGATGAAAACGTTCGCCATGCCCGTCGCTTCTGCGGGTTGCGCCATCTTGCTGCTCGGAGCAATTCAGCAACACAGGTTAGCACGCAGGAAGAATCAATAATGGAGGAGGAAGAGCATCTCCGAACCGAAAACTTCAACCAAGGAATACAGCAGTCGGTAGACTACAAGAAGTCGACTGTCTAGCTTGCGCCAACGCAACAATACTCCGAATCGTTTCTCAATTCGACCCCAACAGGATTTTACGTAGCAATAACGAGCACCGATTGGCGATATTTTGGCTTCTGAGAGGGGCGAGAACTAGGGCACTGGATGTCACGCTGGTGCAATGGCACCACGATCGACAGGTGGCAGTCACGGTTTTTTGGAGCGAGTCGGAAAAACAGGGTTGAGTAGAGCGTGAGGCAAGGAAATAAATAAATCACGCCCACACAAGAAAAAGAGACATTCAGCAACACCACGCACGCACGCAACTATGCTGGGAGTAGGAAGAAATTACGTGCGAGGGGGTGGGGAACCATAGGTTCACGCGCAGGCTCAACGTGTGCTCTACCAACATGGGCGGGGCAATGAGGAGCAAAAAGTCTTTCCTCCGCTCATTGATCATATTCTTCTACAACCACAGCCACCACCGAAAGGATGGCAAACAGCGCACAGACAGAGCACAGACAGAGCACCCAAGCTCCGAGCTCGATAGCACACACGCAACAACGCTGGGAGGATCGAGGAAACACCGCCCGCGTGAGATGAGAGGCATTGTACTGCGCGCACGGTCACGGTCTACGCGTGGGCTCAACACGAGCATGCATTCAAAAAAGGCTCTTGGCTGCTTCAAATAATAACTCGGAATGAATGCGCGAACAATCCAAAATCATGTAGTGTGTGACTGCCTGGATCGAGAGGTGCTTCGTGGGTAGGACGACGTCTGTGATTGAAAATACCTAGCCAACGGTGTTGCAGGGACGCGTGTATTGAACCCTTAGGGTATTCGGCGCCAGATGACATGACCCGCCTGGAAAAAAAAAAACGCACGGCCTCATCGTCCAAACCGACCCGAGTGAATGAATGCACCGCGCTGCTATCCTAACAATAACAAGCGTCTCACCGTCGAAAATACCGTCTCTCCCTGGCAGGCTGAGGTAAATGATACACAACCTCGAAGAATCACCCATCCAATTGGTTGAACAGAGGACATATTCGTAGAGATTCCTGCCCGGCTTCGGCTCCACAACAATGAGGTATACGAACCCGTCGGATGAAAATAATTTCAAATATCATTGAAGCCTCGGGTCGTTCACAGCAGTGCAGCAAGGTCACCGCCGAAACGCTATCATCATATTCTCGTCCATTCTTGCCACAAATCCTTCCCGACATGAAGGACTGCTGTACAGAGCAATGTGCCCACGACGAAATTCGCAGCACTCACGAAAGCAGGTGGAAAATAAGGCTAACGTGGCACTTGTCGAGTGAATGGAAAGTTCTTCCCAGCATATATTTCACTCGCAACCCCATGAAGACCGATGTTCGGATATGCCTCTGATGTGAGCATTTTGAAAACAATTTTGCCGATGATGGCATCCACATTCATAAACCTTGATGGCCTTAGAGTGAAACACTTGATGACGGCCGACGTCCCGTCCACAAAGACCAAACGATCTGCCCAAGAGGGATAGCGTACGCACATGATCAAAAACCGAAGATGGATTGGTCGCACGCTCGATACGCAAATGATATTTGAGCTTTACCGACGCAACGCAGTACATTAGACTTATAATGTTTTGCATACATTCAGCCTGCGGTGTTGTCTGCGAATATCATGTCTAAACCCCCGATTTTGTATCATAGTCCTTGTGCTTTGGTTTGCACAGAACATGTTAACTCTTTGTGCTATCGGCAGCACCAGAAAGAAAGCGCCACAGTCTTTCCATTGCTGTTGGCATTCTACGACGGTTTTGTTATACCGCCCACGGGCCACCCATGGTCTGCCCATGAGCTGCCCATGGGTGGGCCCCTGGGCAGCCAATGAACTGCCCATGAACTGCCCATGAACTGCCCAACGTGGGCCCTTCAACAAATAACTTTGCCACCGGCACATCAACGTACAGGAATCTGTTGTTTCGGAGTACACAGGTTCCGGATGAAGGGCACCCATTGATAGCCCATGGGCTGCGCATGGGCACCACTCACTGTGCCTATGGACACTTCTTCGGTGCGCACCCATGGTCAGCCCATGGGTGCTCCATGGGCGGGTTTAGGAAAACTGTAGGAAGTGTGGGAGGCCCCATAAGCATCGATTACCACTCCCTGACCAATCAAAAGACAAGCCAAATTTCATGTGGTTCATTCAATTGCAGCAGTATCACTGTGTGTGTGATATTGGCTCCTTGTTTTTGGCTCGTCCCAAATCATATGGACAGATATCACGGACAGGTTTGATGAGAAAACCCTTGTCTGATGCGCAGGTATTGCAGCATTCCTTCAGGAAATAGTCACACAACTTGCCTGCCAAATCACATTCCCCGGCCGGTATCGTGAGTGAATGCTGAATGAGCGGGGTCCTCGGGCTGTGGCACACAATGAGTACAGCGGGGAGGGTTGGCAGTTGCTGCGCAGACCTGGAGGTAGTTCACCCGAAAGGTGGATTTCAATGAGACGGGGCCAAACATCGCCAGAGAACCATCGTGCTTTTACTGTACACGAGGGCCGCGAAAAATTGCCCGATAGATGTAGATGTGCGGTACGAGAAAGAAGTGAGACCAGCCGGCTATGCTCTGGTACAGACAGCAAAATGCCCTTCCGGCGGCAAGTGTTCTTTCCTGACGAGACGACTTCGATACTATTTTTCTTCCGCCTGCGTTGCACGACCGGGACACAGAGCAATGTGCCGTTGTTGCTGTTGTTGTTGTTGTTGTTGATGTTGTTGATGTTTTATTAACGATTTACCATTCCAAAGTCTACTCAACAACTTTTTCACATCCGCATTGGTCAAACTCCGCAAAGCCTCGCCAAATCGAAGAGGAATAAAGTCACCCAGACAAATCGGCACGAACGCGATATCGATAACAACCAGACGGACATCAAGCAGTCAAACTTCGAGAGTGACTTGTGAGAAAAGGGGAACCGATACACAGCGCCCACCTCTCCCACCGGTACGCGAGGCCAAGCAACAAATTCAAAACAAATCAAATCATCAAAGATCCCCAATCACGACAAACATCGGACGGGACGGTTCTGTCCCTGTACCGCTTCAAGGATGGGTTGTATTCGACGTTGGCACCGTTCACGCCATTTCCCACGAATACCTACCATATTGCCATCATGACCGTTCACACCCTCCGCAGCCAAACACTCAGAGGCTATGCCTCTCTGCTGCCGCTCTCATGTGCATACAACATCGCGATCGAGGGTACCGTCACGCACAGGCTGTACGCCGCTGCCGCCGCTGCCGCCGCACCGCCGACCTCCGAACCGTGAGGTCGTCCACACCAGAGATCTAACCGGATGGCAGCAAGCGCCAACATTGTGCGATTTCATTGGCTGGGGAGCTGCACGCTAGTCGAAGAGGCCCATCACAAAAATCTATGACAGATTGAGCAAGGAGGGTCACACACGAAGCAACAACAAAAAAAAAAAACGTGTGTCACTAAATCTGCGAATCAAACATGGAGTCTATGACACGAAAACGGCAAGGCCAAGGTCAACGTCACACCAACACCCAAAGGATCTTGACAAGCACCACGACCTTGGCACAACTCAGCAGAACAAGCCGAAATCTCCGCGAAAAGGGCCGGACAAGAAATCTCGATTCCGAGGAACAAGTAAGGCTGCCAGCGTATTGAGGAGGGCAAAAGTGCAACAGGGACTTCGCCAAGACTCGCCTGCGGCAAAAACAAACGTCATGTTTCCTGATGCCACAACGTACCAGCCGACATGAGCTCCCGTATCAACCACGATCGTGGAGAAACCGGTTTGTTTCCATTTCGCTATTAAAGCCAACAAAAGGTACTCTCAGGCAGAAGGGGCAGATACATAGCTGCATACGCACCACCTCCTAAAGATAAACACAACATCAAAGTCACATCGTGTCATGTCAACGATCCCGAACATCTGGCGCTCTGCGCCTTCAAAAAAACGGCATCGGCAATGGTGCTATACCAGCGTTCACGTGTCCGACTATGTCTGCGGTACAGTGGCAGGAGACCAAAGGCCGAGACGGCTCTGAACAAAAGGCAACACCAGACAGATCGTTGGTCGAGCCACAAACACGCATTTCTTTCCATTTCAAAACAACAACTACCAACAACAGAAAAAGTGCACTCAACAAAAGAGAATAGGAGAAGGCTACAATTCGTCACGCTTTGCATAGAAAGGGGTGCACATCCACAACAAAACAACAGACACCCGACAGCCACACGCAAGCAAAATCCGTCCATCCCAAGCGCGTCTTGTGAGCGCAAGCACGTCATCAGAATGAAAAAAATAATAATAATAATGAAAATAAAGGTCACCACCCCCCACCCCAAATAAAACAAAACTGCAGCCATAAGTGCACGCACGACACAAACATGAGGAGATAACACGCCCCCATTCAGTTACCCCTCCCACCCCTTCGGACGGTCGCCGTTTCCTTATGGATTACAAAGCAAGCCCACTTACGGGACCCCGCTTGTCACACAGGAAGAAACACAAGATTTGGCATTCACTCTCCTATCCTCATCGGGCCAACCTGTGGATGCACGACTGGCTCGCCCAAGTAACACAGCTTCCGTCTTTCGACTCGTCTGACCTGTTCCCCACCGGAAGGCTGCTATGGATACTTGCTCATGACGCAAAGAACACGACACGCGCAGACCACCAAACAGCAACACCAAATGAATATCCAACACCAATGAATCTCGGCCTACGGAATGCCATCCACAGCCAAAAGTCGCCAAGCTACCCAACACCCTTCACTCTCGCAAGAGGCCATTCCCCAAGGCTCACACCGAATTTCCCAAGGCAGCCGTCGACAATAGTAACACAGACAACGCGAAACGAGATATAGGGTATCAGGGAAAGCAAGCAACAGTCAACGTTCCGGCAACACCGGCGTCAACCTCTCTCCACGTAGATGGCCGATGCAATGTGCCGTTTCATGTCTCGACAAAACGGTACCCGAAGTGCCGCATGTAGGCGCCGTAGTGTCGTCGGACCATTTCCACCTGCAGTATCGCGGGCAGTCAAGTGATTCATTCGCGTTCAATTGTCAAATGCAAGGTGGGAAATTCCCGGGGATCAGTCCTCAGCAGAATCAGCAAGAACAGCGGCGTTCATCGTAAGAAGGAATGACGTACAAAGTCCCCAGCTGGGGCATGAGCAGCAACAGCAACAACAGACCAACGGCATCGTCGGAGACAATTGCAACAGCGACGACGAACCACCACCACCACCACCACCACCACCACCACACCGTCGGACGTTTCCGTCATCTACGACATCTACGACATCTACGGGATAGCATTCACCTCGGCAAGACTAGCCCTGGGAACACCCGCACCGCATTTTTGCTTGAACGGTTTCTTGGGGCCGAATAGGCTGCGCATTCGGCACGCGACCAAAATAGTGAGACAGGGCGTCGCCGTAGGACACATTAGACGGATCGCACGTTCAAGCAATGAGCACGAGAAGGATAGCAGTAGAACAGGCATTCCAAGGCTCAAATAAAAAAAGTAGTAGACTACAGAGGCAGACCTGTGATTCTCTATCGTCAGAGCCAACATTGGATTTCAACCTGCAAAGTGCCACTGCTTCATTATGGGCTTCATTGCATAAGTGGATATGTGGACAAATGGCAAGCCAGAGCACTCCGTATATCCCGCCGTTTCCATCAGCGCGCAGCGGCGGGATGGTTTAGCCGTCACCCACTGAGTTGGAACGTAGGAGAAGCACGCATCAACTGGGGGGGGGGGGGGGGGGGNGGGGGGGGGGGGGGGGGGGTGCGGCTGGACATTTACCTCATCGCCCTGGCGATCGATTCTTCCGACCAGTTCCACCCTCCCGGCAGCGTGTTGAGTATTCTCCTGTGGTGCGATACGGTCGAGGAAGCAAGGCCAGCAGCACCAGCAACACTAGCTTCATCAGCGATAACCAGCAACAGCAACAACAGCAACAGCACCAACGCCAGAACCAGCACCAATAGCACCAAGCACCAGCAGCTGCGGCAGCAATAGCAGCAGCAGCAGCAACAACAACAACAACAACAACAACAACAACAACAGCAGCAGCTAGGGGATTGGGGGACGGTGACCATCAATGTCCAATCCAGTAACAAGGGCTCCCTACTTGGCACACAATTCGCTTGTGGCAGCACCGTTGAGCAACCGTCCACGCCAAACAAACCCAACTAGGACGAGACGATCACAGACGGCAGGGCAACGGCAACAGCAACCAGAACGCAAGGGAGGCGTGGGTGCCGCACACCTGAGAACTTCCTCGGCTCGGAGCAGCATGTCCTCGTACCGGAACACGTAAATGGGGATGTCGCCGGCCGCGGCCACCCAGTGGGACAGGTGCCCCTGCCACACCGGCAAGTAATCCCTCAAACACGGCGCTTTCCCGGCCATGTACCTGGGCAGCGAGGAAGGGCAGCGGAGGATATCAACAAGAGCAACGAGAGGCGTTCAAAACGATACCAGATTGAACAGCAACCAAGGGTGCAAGCGGAGGGTAAAAGAAGAGACAAAACCGCCATTCAAAAAAAAGCCAGAGAGGGAACTCGATAAGAATGGCGTTCAAAACAGAATCGGATGCGGAACTCGACAAAAGAAAGGCGTTCACAACCAAGTCAGACGGCGCCTTCGTACGCGGGATGCAGCCGGGGGAGAATCATCGGTATTTCGGAGCGGATGGATCGTACCGTGTTACAAAAAAAAATAATATGTACGTGTTACCCCATGGACTGGTGGGTCCTTTATGAAGTCTTCAACAAAACAGATGTACGATTCGGATAAACGGGTACAAGCATGCGTGAAACTCGCCCTCCGTTCCGCCGAGCAAAATAAACGAACGGTGCTTTCGTTTCCACGGCGACACGAAAAAGCTACGGTGCAGCTAGATAAATAGCTGCCGCACGGCAACATGCGTACCTCTGCCAGGCGTCGTGGTTGTCGATCGGGTTTCTCACGAGCAGTACGAGCATGCAGGTATCCTCGGGCATGAGGCTGGGCTTGTTGTACGACGGGAAGAAGGGAGTGTGGCTCTTGTACAGGATAGGAGACGTCGCGTTCGGTGGCCTAGATATTCCACCGCAAGTGCACACCAAAATTAGGTTGTGTGTGGGGGGGGGGGAACTAATTGTCGTGCATGCCGTAGTCGTTAGAGCGTTGACCTCGCATCCCTACAACGCCGGGACGGAGCACGCCGGGTTCTCACCGGACCAGGCTCTCACATCACCAAGCGCGAAGCGCCGTGAGGTATTCACCGAGCAGCATGAAGGGTGCGCTGCATCCTGCTGAGGGTGTTCGGCATCTTGTGCTTACTTCCTTGCGTACGGATGACAGCTGCGCATGACTTGATATATTTTCTGGTACTTCTACTTCCAGAGACACGTTGTAAGCACTGTGCAGTGCTTGACCAATTTAACACAACGTGCGACTATCCCCTTTGCGCGGAGTGAGGCCGCACAACATAATCTACTCGACGACCAGCCACAATAAGGGTGGAGGTGGCACAAAACACTGGCAAGGCAGTCATACATGAAAGCACTTCCTCTCCGGCACTCAACCGCTCAGGACTCAGAACAATCACGATCATCCCTGACAATTGAAACAACACATGGAAGTCATCATACCTGAAACTGAGCAACACTTGGAAGCGACGCCCAACAGCAACCCTTTACGGCTTCACCAGAGAACAAACCACAGAATTGCTTGCTCACCGGAGGTCTCTGCAGGGGAACTTCGCCTTCGATCTCAGGTTGCCTTCCATGTGATCCAGGCTGGCTCCGCAAGGGTCGTCCGAAGAAAAGGCGGTGTACCGCTCCTTTAAGGTGCCACCCTCTGCATGAACACAACAATAATGTAACACAATACATCGTTGACGCACCCAGGGTCTTTTCGCGTGTACATTAACCGGCACAGGAAGACGAGTGGAACAGGAACGCGACGGTGAAACACCCAGAAAATACCAAAAGGGGCTACGAGCTGCCTCGCGGCCGCTGTCAACCACGCCAACGCTCTCCTCCCACACCGAGAGCAACCACCAGCAACGCAAGAGGGTCTGTCACGCAAACGCCCAGTACACACCATGGTGACAAAACGAGCCGCGTAAGAGCACGGAGCAGCGAACCTGCCGCCGAAGTGAAAGGACAATACACACAACGCTCCCGCAACCTTTCATCCGCACAACACCATTATGGAAAAAAAAAAAAAAACGCAAAAGAGAAACGCACAAAACACGCCACAAGCTGAAGCTACGTGGTGCATTCAGAGAAAAGGACCGACATACAAACAGAGACGACACTGCGGGACAATCTTCCGAGCGAAACATACCCGGCCACATGGAGAACGAGGGCTGTGAGGTAGCCGTCTCGAACAGGGCTCTGAACCACGTGCTGCCCGTGCGGGGGATGGACGGCATGTGCACCCGGCAGTAGCCCGCCTTCTCCACCCTCCTGTCCGCCTCTTCGGACCCGTACTCGTACCTTTTCGCATTAAGAAAAAAAGGGGGGGGATGGTTGCTTATCCGTAGACCAACTACGTACCCCGGCGATACGGCCCTCACAACGCACCTAGGCTTTTTTCGACCGGACGGGGAGAGGTATTGGGATAATGTCCCGAGGTTGAGAGGGAGAAGCGTGTACATTTGAGGTCACCACAAGATGTTCACGCGGAAATTATTTAGCACAACTACCGTATTCCACCGTAGAACTGCCCTGTTCCACCATCTACCAGGTGAACCACTGCCGCCTGCCACGGACCCCGAAATCACCGCCAAACGCTGCCACAAAAATAGGGAAGAGCAAATCATGAGAGCACGAGTAGCTGTCATCGTCCTACCAAACTAGGAATCTGAAAGCAATGGCCATGACGAGTCGAGCATGGAGGAATCCATCGCCCACACCCGCATGTCACCCCCTCCGCTCCCGTGGAAACGCCTTCCTTGTCCAAACACACTTTGCTGCTGAGAATTCGTGCTGTTGAGAATCCGTGGGCACTACCGTAGGTTGCATGGCGTAAGACATCACGCACCCTTGACCGATTTTTCAAAGCTCGAATACTCCAAGACGAAGAGGATGCCTTCTAAGTTCAAGCATACGTTTCGGAAAGCTCTCGACGAGAAGGTTCCAACGCCGCCATTTTCGGTACCTTCGCCGCTTTTCCGGCCGAGATATCGAGCCTCGAAAAACGGTCCGGGGGGTGTGATACCTAATGCAACCTACGGTACTTCGAGAAGAAGGAGGACGGGCAAGACACGAAAAGAAAAAACAAAAACAATTGCGACCGCCTCGAAGCGAGATGCAGCGGAACTCTAATCCCTCCCACTATTATTTTTTATCGAGTCAGCAACACAGAGGCAGTTGCAGCAGCAGCGCAGCGGACATGTTGTCGAAGCTGTGAAGTCCCAGCCACTCCGCGTCCTGGCTCTCGCTCATCTCAAGCTCCCACCCAGCCTTGGGTCTTGGGGCGACAGGGTGCAGGTACTTGTCGAAACCAGGTTGTTCTTGCTGCGGTGCAAGTCGATGGAAAGGAAAACAAACACGAACCACTTCAACACTATCATGGAATACTACAACAATGGTGTAACGGCGATGGTGACACACGCCGGCTGCCGTTCTTACCCAACGGGGTACACGAGGCTAGGTTACTCGTGACGCACGGTTCTGCGACCCCACGCCTCCGAAAAGGAATGGCGACGACAAGGGGATGCTGTTTGGAGCGGTAGAACCAACTGTGCTGTAGATAGTGCGGTGAATTGGACAAAAAAGTGGGGTGGGGAAAACATCTGGGGCAAAACCACAGATGAAAAAAGGGCCCTTGCCATATGGAAGCCGTGAAGCTCCTCTTGCCTTGTGCAGCTAGATTTAAAACGTCCCAAGGAGGCGACGTGCCAGTCACCCTTGGGGTTTCCCCACCTTCAAAGAGGAGGCATGCGTGTCTCCTCCCCAACTCCAGGGCTTCAAAACCTTCTTGCTTTCTTTGTGCTAGGAGAGCAGGCTCCGGCCGCTATTGTTGCGCTGCTGTCCTTACAGGAACAACACAGAAACAGGGTACTCCCTGGCAACCGTTACGTATCACACCATCCGAACTCTACAAGACGAGGATAAACTTGCGGGCCAAACCCACCCACATCTTGCGGTAAGCACCACGATATCCTTGAGAGCGTCCAAGGGCACAACCGCAATTATCTGGTGACAAGGAAGCCGCCCACCTACCTACCTGCCTACCTAGGTGCCTACAGAATTGGAGCTCACGGCGCTTTCGTGCATCACGGTGGCGAACTGTAGTCGCGGCAGTGCGGAATAATGCCATCGAAACAATAGGGAACCAAGGCAGCATTGGCTAGATGTCGCAGAGAGGAGAGGAATGCGTGGCGCTTCCCTATAGTGTGACGGCTACGCAACAGCCGGCAGGCGATGCACTCTTCCGGCCGAGTTGCGTTCTTCCAGTGCTTGTTTCCCGCCTACCCTCGTTTCCGTTTTCCTTTCAAGCGCGAGACCGACTCCCATCAGTCGCGAGGTGGATTCTTTCAAGGGTGACTGGCTGTAGTCGCGACGGAGCAGTGCAGATTGAGGTCGGCAAAAAACAAAAGGAGAAAAAAAACATGGACGACAATGAACCAGATCAACACCGACCACCCAAGAGGGGAGGAATTCGAGGTGGTGCTGTATGATCATCTTTCTGCTGGGGGGCAGCTGCTGCGCTTTCCTGCAGCGACAGCTGAGCAGCACCCGTTCAACTGCGTCGCCTGCACCTGGCTATTCCTTTCTAAGTGTGCGCGCTGCGCAAAAACGTATTTTTTGGTTAGATGGGCTATCCCGGGACCAACGTAGCCAGCAGCGCTGACTAGGCGGTCTAAGGGACTAGTCTAATTGTAGCCTGTATCGTTGTAATCGCATGCCGGTGCCGTAGGTCGCGTAAGATATCACACCCCCTTGACCGATTTCAAAGCTCGATTACTCCACGACGAAGAGCATCCCGAAATCGCAGTATGCGTTTTCGGAAAGCTCTCGACGGCACGCTTCCAATGCCGCCATTTTCGGCGCACTATCACTGCTTTTCCTGCCGAGATATCGAGCTTCGAAAAAGGGTCCAGGGGGTGTGATATCTTACGACACATGCACGCAAGTGTACATTTGCCTTCTACGATGAGACGAAATCACATAAACACACGACACACAAACCATACCTTTTTGTCAGGACCCAGCTCGGCCTCCTTGTACGCTCTGCATGTTATCCACTCCCCCCCGTGCCCACTGCCTTCCTCGAACCCCATCATGTTCAGCTGTCGGAAGCTATTTCGAAGCAGGTGAGGCTTTGGAGGCTTTGGATCCGCCGCATGGCCGGCAGCGAGCAATGTTGTCAGATCACTTGTTGGTTGCAACGCTGGTAGTACGGGTTCCGCACGCTCCCGTCCGCTTACCGCGAGCAGAAGCGTAGCGTACAGAGCCCAAACCATAGTCAACGCGACACCTAGCTTCATAACAGAGGGTGCTGAGGGCGCCCTATCGAGTAGCCGTCCCGCGGGCTCGGCCGCAGGGTCCGGGAATCCCGATGTTCCTTTCCGCCGCATTCTACCCCCCTCTGCTCTATGTAGACAGGATGAGGGTCGTCTTACAAGGACAACGTAACAATGAATTAGCCAGGTAGAATCTGCGAATACAGGGCATGGAGCGGCACCCAGGTCCCTCCACTGCTGGTGGTTGCTACCACTTCTCGCTTGCAACGAAAATGCGGACTGCCGGCGCTAGTTGCAATGTTCCGCACTGGCGAGGGGTCCGACGCTAGGAACTTGCATGGGTATGTACTAACTCGCACAACAGCAGTTCATCAGTTCTACCCCCCACCTCCCGAACCTCCGTTCCCCCTTCTCCTCCTTAGCACGCCCATCAGCGCTCTAATCGGAACGAACACAGGACACCCGCAAGAATAAGGTGTCTTTACAAAACGTTGGTTGTTCATCAGTATACTTGGTGTCAGTTGTGGTGTTACTTCGAAGTACATGTGTACCATGTGCTGCTGTATGCATAGTCTAGACTAGTCCATGAATTATGGTCGCAAGAACAGAGATCTCTTGCCGTGTTATTCTCGTCCAGTCTATTCTCGAGATGAAAGCTAGGGGTAAAGTGCAGATAAGAGGCTCCACGAATTCAGGTGCCGCAGACGACAGTACACACTGATCGCAATCGACGTACATTGATAGGCCGGAGCGACACCACGACGAGTACGTCAAAGATGGTCGACCAGATGTAATGGGCGTCTCCCTTCGTGTTCATTCAGTAGTCTTATCAACCGGTCGCCCCGGGGGTCTAGTGGGTTACCTAGCAGCCTGCTAAGGGCCAGGTCATGGGTTTGAGTCCCGACAGAGTGAGTTTTTTCTCGCTAATCAAATCCTGGTCTCCGTTGGAAGCGACGNATAATCGACTTCGTAAGTCGCGAGGGAAGGGATTGCTGTACCCTTCTCGCGATAAAAATATCTCAGGCAGGAACCGCAGGAGGGGGTCCGACCCCCCTCTCCGTCCGATAAGCCGGAGTTCACCAGGCAACGGGCAGTTTGCAATGAATACTCAATCCTCGACCACATCCTGGTAGATAGGGGGAGCACACAGATCCCAGAGCTGCACGTAAGGGATAGATATGGGTTCGACCGACCACTTCCTCATATGGGCAAACATCGACCGATCTAGAAAGATCAAGAGTAAGAAACAGAGGAAAGTGTTCCGGTGGAAAGTAGAGCGTTTGGGAGACGAGGGGACACGGGATGAATTCCAGAAGGGACTGGCTGGTAGTGTAGAACCCTTCAGGAAACTGCTGAGAAGCGTCGAAGACGGACAGGTAGACGTACAAGCAGCAGGGGACAGGGTGATGGAAGGGTGGGGGTCCATCGTGAACGCAACAGCAGAGAGTAGTGGGAAAGACGGTGGTACGATGTGGAGTATCGGTTAAGTGGTGGGATGACGAGCTGAAAGAAGAAATAGGGGAACGTAGAGAAGTCTTCAAGCAGTACCTGAGTGAGGCGTCTGAGGAGAGTTGGGAAAAGTACAGGGCCAAGAGAAAACAGGTGAAAGGACTCGTGAAAAAGAAGAAAAAGTGCATTTGGAACGAAGTAGTGCAGAAGGCCAACGGAGGCCTGGAGGGGAACGCCAAGCAGATGTGGGACGGGATTAGTGGAATGATAAAAAAGACCGCGCAAGGGGGG